GACCCTATGTACATATAGCAGCTCTGAAGCCTGCCCTATTCTGAGCCAGTGTGACTCCGATACACCTACTCCAATTGCCCCGGTTATTTTAGCAATACATCTCATCTGGGGTCTTCCTCTTCTACACTGTCCCTCCACCCTTCTGAGCATGACGGCCTTCTCCAAGGACCAGTCTCTTCTGGCAACGTGCCCAATGTATGTGAGACGGAGCTTCAAAATCCTAGCCTCCAAGGAGAAACTTGGTTTATCTTACCTTGTTTGCTTTTTGTTCTAGTTGCTGCCTGGAAACAAGGATTTTGAAGCTCTGTCTCACATACTTTGGGCACACTGCCAGGAGTGACAGCGTTAAGAAAGGAAGACCCCGGATGGAATGGACTGAGACAGTAAGTGGGATAGTGGGGGTAGGTGTGTCAAAGACAGTGAGACTGGTTCAGAGCTACTGTGCACAGAGTCGCCATGAGTTACAGTTGACTCAATGGCACATAACAGCAGCAGCAGCAGCAGCAGCATACCCCCAAAGTATTAATATCCCATGGACTGGCAGACTAAGTAACCAGGAAGTTTCTTAGAGGCAACAATGGTGATACTTCATCTCACCTACTTTGGGCATGCTGTCAGGAGGGGTCAGGTCTTAGAAAAAGGCATTCGGCTGGGAAAAGTACAAGGTCAGCAATAGAGAAGACGACCTTCATTGAGATGGACTGACAGAATGACTACAACTATGAACCGAAGCAAGACAGAGACTGTAGGGAGGGCACAGAGTAGGACAAGGACTCTGCTGTCCAAGCTGCAATCTACTCAACTGCATCTAACAGAACCTACAACAGTCACTAAGATCATGATGGGAATCAAGGAAATGATTTTGCTAAATTTTCCCCAATTGTATTCTATTCAACTACGTACTGTACTCCCAAATCTCAGTTCTTTTCACATGGAAAGACAAATGACGGAATAGGACAACTCCCACATAAGAATGTGTCCCATAATTTAGACTTGAGGGCAAATGTTAGGGCAAAATACATAATTAAATTTCAACATAAAAATCTTACATGTAAAAAAAAAATCTTACATGTTTATCTTTTCTCTCCAAAGCATCCTGTTTTTGCTTGCATTTTTGAGATGCTTCCTTAATATCTACTGCCTGTAAGATTGAACCACAAGAGAAAACCATTTAAAACTTAAGGAAGCCAATTATGTGTGCTCAGACAACTAAATATTAATTTTATGAACTAATCCATAATGCTATTCCACCATTTAGTTCAAATTTACAATTATAAAAATGAACACCATGTAATTTGCAAAGCTTTAAGTTATTCTTGCCAATATTAAAAACAGTTGGATGTAAGATAAATGTACTTCATATTCTCCTTAATTTTACCCCAAAAAAATCCTAACTGATGAGATGGTTAAATTTCTGCCTTGAAGAAATCATGGCACAGGGAGGCCTGTATAGAACTAGTAGCATTAATAATCAAGACTAGGTCTTATTTTAAATCTAGGGTTTATCAGGTATGGACTGTAACAAGGGGCTCTAGTGTGGCAGATATGATGAGAATTACATAGGATAGCACAGGGTTCACAGCCATTGTTCACAGAGTCACTATGGGTTCTAGTTGACTCAACGGCACCTAACCACCACAACCACCACCTTGTGATTTGCTAGTGCTTTAGAAGTAAGGAATTGTGCTGCCAACCCAAAGGCATACAGTTCAAGTTCGCAAGCTGCTTCAAGAAAGTTAAGTAATCCTCTCTTGTGGGATTAACTGCCTCTCAAAACCAACCATGAGTCAGTTCTGACGTGACACATAACAACAGGTCTTATTTTTAAATTTAGGGTGGGTTTTTTTTTTCTTCTATTATATCCATTATGCTACCTTGTGGTATTTGTCACTGATGCATGAGACATGTAAATTCATATACTGTTGCTGTGTACCATCAAATTGGAATGGACCCACAGTTGATCCTCCAGTGGGTTTTCAGAGGCAACTGAATCACACAGGAGGCGGCTTACCTGCACTTCTCCTGTGAAACAGCTGGTGCCTTTGATCCGGCAGAGCAATTCCTTACCACTAAGCCACAGGTAAGCAACTGACCACTAAGCTGTTTTTAAATTATTTATTAGTAACACAAAGTTACATAAGCCAAATGACATGCACAAAGTTGTGCAGGAAGTTACACAGGTCTATTGACTGTTATTCTTTTGGTTGGTAGCCGGGAAGCTGGATTTGTAGAGTGTTCATACTGCACCTAACTGTTAACTGTTCCTAAACATTTTATACAGAATGTCATCATATGACAAATACCTCCTTTTATCTCAGGAGTCTAGAGTTCCAGGAAGTCATAGGCAGAGCACCGAGGCAAAAAGTTCCTACAGAATTTTGAGTACTGCATTTCTAATGCGTTTCCCTAGCAAGTATTTCCCACGAGTTGTCATGACTTCAGAGGAAAAATTAGGCATGTCCTAAATGGCTCCACCAGGATGGGCCTCCTGGAAGCTTATGCCTCATCTCCTCTAAATTCATCCCAGGTGACATATTTCTTTCCTGACTTTTTTTTGTATCTTTTTTTCTGTAATAAATCTTGGCTGTGAGTACACCTATATACTGAGATGTCTTAGAAAACTCACCAGCCCTAAAAGTGGTCCTGAGGAACACTATGCTCACTGAACCTAATGGCACCTAACAATAAAAATAGCAATCAAAACAGTAAGGCAAAAAATACTTTCAAATATGTATACAGAACTTTTTATATTTCCTAAAACATAGACTAGAATTGAGTAGAAATACCTTCTCTTTGATCCGCGCTTCCAAAACATGACGCTGTTCATCTGTTTCCTCAATTCGAAGTGTTAGGGGACCCTGACCTTCTTTAAGTTTTCTGACTTGTTCCTTCACATGGTCACGAGCTTGTTTAACTTCTTCATATTCTTGTCGAACATTTTCATATTCCTTATAAATAATTCAAAATCCACCATTCACTGTATTAAACTAGCTTCCACTAACCAAAAACTTAATATGGCTACTAGCCCAACATAAAACCAAGGTACAATAACAAGCAAATTCTAAAACTGTTTTGATAGCCCTCTTGCAGGTCTAGTAATAAAATCGATGTCCTCTGAAATAGGAAATAGAAATATAATGATTCAGGAAGAGTCTTTATAGCTCCTGCATATTTAACTCTGTTACTTAGCTAGACTATCTATCTCCTATTACCTTGAAATAACTAACTGAATGATTTTTCCAAAGAGATTCTTTTTTCTTCAACAAAGAAAAGGTATAGGGATACATAAGGAAACAAAATAAAAGCTACCAAAAAAAAAACAAACCAAAAACAAAAACAAAAACCCTCAGCTAGGAAAAAGAAAAATGAACAAGACCAAAATGAAGTTAAACTTGCTAGGTGAAACGGTACTTGTTATATCATAGATAATTTTTTTTAAAAAGTAAAGAAAGAATTATTAAAAATCACCTCAGAAAGAAAAGGGGAAATCAAAATACTTCAAAAGAAAAAACTTCAAAAAGAAAAAGTGGAAATGATGGGTACAGGAAGAAGGAAAAGTGGAATCAAAAGAATCTAAAGAAAAATGTTAAGAATAATGGGATTACAAGAAGGGAAAGAGGACAGAAGGCCACAAATAAGAGTAATATTCTTTTCTTCTCTAATGATAATTATTTCCATTCTAGTCCAGGAACAAAAGTTAAAAAAAAAACAAAACCAAAAACAAAAAAACCCCTTTATTACATTCCTTATAAAGCAATATACTCAGGAAATGGAATCTTTAGTCAAAACTATGGCCTTAAATAATAACACACACCACATCACAGTGATTAGAAAACAAACAGTAGCCTTAGTAAATTTAAGAACTATACTGCAGCTACAATAATTCAGCTGTGTCTGAAGTGGCTGTTTATGCCATAACTCAAGATTCTTAAAGGTCTAAGGACATGCAAAGATTTAATTTTTTATCTGTAAAAATTTGCAGAGAATTTAGTTTTCAAAACTCCCAAAAAAGTATCTGTTGGGTACTAAAATCTAAATCAACATCACTGGCTTAATTATTATTTGCTATAACACAGCACATAGTAAGTGAGAAAACAGATTAAAAGCCAGATAGATATTATGTCTGATTAATGAAAGGAGTTCTGGTGTCTCGCCATTAAGCACTTAGCAACTAACTGAAAAGGAAACAGTCTGAACTCCTCAGGAAGAAAGGCCCTGGCAATCCACTTCCATAAAACAGACTACAGGGCAGTTCTAGTCTGCCCTGATGGGTCACTCCAAGTTGGAATCAGGGGTATAACATCCAAATGCACTACGACTAAAGACCGCAAAACTTAAAGCCCCTCCTTTGAATAGTCATTAATGCATTCTTCATACAGCAATTAATGCAACTTTTCATCTACTTAAAGAATTATCTATTTTTGCTTTAGGTTTTTTCTATAATAATTAGGACTTACCACCCAAGGTCGTTTTGCTTCAAGCATCTCAATTAAATCTAAATGTCGCTTACGTTCATAGAATCGCTGCACATCTTGTTTGTATCTTTCATTCCTCTGAATCATTTTTTCTAGGTAGTCAGTTTTCTCTTTGCATGAGGTCTAAATAAATATTTGTTAAACAATTAGTTTAACTGGGGGGGGGGGGAGACAAAGGATCTTTTAACAATTAAAAAATATAGTGTTAGCGAAATCTTGAAGGAGCCCTGGTGGGATAGTGTAGCATGATGAGCTGCCAATGGAGGGGCCAGTGATTCAAATCCACCAGTCATTCTGTGGGAGAAAGATGGTTTTCTGCTATAAAGATCAGGGAATTGGATAGAAGTTTGCTATGATTCTGAATCAACAGGACAGCAGTGGATACACAGCAAAATTTCACAATAAGGAACTGTATGTGTGCACATTGCAGTATCAAGTACGCAGATGTAGCATGCTATCTTCGTTTTGTAGTTAGGTGAAGGCGAGTTGACTCTGACCGACAGTTATCCTGCACTATACTTACAATCCCTGTTGTGCATCAGCACAATGATTCCAACACTGTGTCAATCCTGACTACTGAGGCTCTTTCTTTTCTTCGAGAGTTCTCCACTTCTCCAAGCATGATGCCCTTTTTACAGGAATTAGCAGCCCCAAGTAACATACCCCATTGTGTGAGACAAAGTCTCACCATCCTCATCTCTAGAGAACACTCTGGTTGGATTTCGAAGCTAGATGTGTTTGTCCTTTGATGGCCTATTTACTATTCTTTGCCAACACTAAAATTCAAAGGCACTAATTGCCAGATTCCTTTAATCATTTTCCAACATTCCCTTGTATATGAAACAAATGAAATATTATGGTCTGACAACTGAAATATCATGGTCCGGCATACTTCAGTTTTCCAAGAATCATCTTTACTCTTTAGTAGTATAAAGAGGCTCTGGCAACAGATACGCCCAATGCCATAAACAACCTGACTTCTTTACTGCTGGTTCCATGGGTGTGGATTGTGGACTCCAGTAAAAAAATCCTTGGCAACTTCAATCTTTTTTCTGTTTATTAAGATGTTGCCTACTGGATCAGCTGTGATAACCACTGGATTTTAGTTTTTTGCAATCCATACTGAAGGAAGAGGTAATCTATACTGAAGGCCTTTAGTGTGTGTTTCAGTACTATAATAGAAATATCAGGCTTTAACTAAAAGAAATCTACTTCATCAGCATCCTGGAGCCTACAGGTCCAAACTTAGAGTGTGGCTGCCAGGGGAAGGCTTGCTCTTGGTCAGCTCTGGAGAAAGATCCTTATCTTTTCAGCCTATGCTCAGTTCCTCCGTGTGTACTTCTCTCTCTCTCACCTCTGCACCTTTTAGATCTCCTGGGAGACTGACTCAAAATATATTCTACACAAATCCTGAGTGAAATATCTCAGTCATAAAAGGACAAATACGGCATAAGGTCACTGTTATAAAATTGGACTGACATGGGGGCTGGGGGAAATTAAGGAAAGAGGGGATAAATAATGAACACTGAATTGGGACAGATAAAGGAAATAATTGTTTAAAAAGAATATATGATTACACATTATTTGTATGACAACACTCTAGAATAAGAGGTGTACAGCAAAGTAGACTGGGGGAGGGAGGAAATTATGTAACAATGAATGTTTTTGGTTTTAGAAAAAGCAAACTGGGGGGTAAGGAGGAAAATGTGCAACAACGTATGAATGGAAAAAAATCCAACTTTTCTGTAAACTTTCACTAAAATCACAATTAAAAGAAAAGTCCTATCTCATTAACATAACAAAGCCCATTCTCAAACTGGGATTACAATCATGGAGACAGAGGCTAGGATTTACAACAAATTATTTCAGTGGAACATAATTCAACTGCTAACACATGTTAGATGGATCTTGGCTGAAAGCAGGAAATACCAGAGGAATGTCTATCTGTGCTTCAATGATTATGCAAAAGCATT